TTAATTAAAAGTGAACCTGCAGCAACTTAAAAATGGGCTATGCAGCAACTTAAAAATAAAGCTGTGGAAGATTATTTACTGGCATAAAATTCTGTTTGAAGTTCAGTTAAATGAAGGAAATGTACACATGTGTATTCTGATGCCTTCTTAAAATACAGAAATTTATAGCAATACATACACAGAAAAAAGTCTGGAAACAGATCATCTAAAACTTTTACACTGTAGGTTATTTCTATACAATAGCAATGAAAAATCTGAAAAGTAAGTTAAGAAAATTCCATTTATAATCACATCAACAAAATAAAATACTTCAGAATTAAGGTAACTAAGGAAGTACAAGACTTGTGCACTGAAAACTACAAAACATTGCTAAAAGAAATGAAAGAAGACCTAAATAAATGGAAAGACACTCCATGTTTATGGATTGTAAGACTTAATATTGTTAAGATGGCAGTACTCTCCCAAATCAATCCTCAGAGTAAAGAAAAGCCCAACAAAAATCCCAAAGACATTTTATTGGGGGGGAGGGAGAGATTCTAAAATTCATGTGAAACTTGCAAGAGACCTTAAAGAATAGTTTTGAAAAAGAAGAGGTGAAAGTACTTCCTGATTTCAAAACTTACTACAAAGCTATAGTAATCAAAACAGTGTGGTACTCTCCGAAGGACAGACATACAGATGAATGTATCAGAATTGAGAGTCCAGAAATAAACCTTTACATCTATGTCAACTAGTTTTGGACAAGGATACTAAGAGCACTCACTGAGGACGGGCTCTTCAACAAACAATGCTAGGAAAACTAAATATCCACACGCAAAAGAATGAAATGAACCTTACCACAAACCATCTACAAAAATTAACTCAAAATGAATCACTTTAACTATAAGAGGCAAGTTTTAGAAGAAAACATAGTGTAAATCTTCATGATCTGAGTTTGGAAATGGATCCTTAGATATAATGCCAAAAGCACAAGCAACTAAAGAAAAAATAAACTGGACTTCATTAAAATTTAAAATTTTTGTGAAAGTGAAAAAACAATGTATGGAATGAAAGAAAATATCTGAAAATTATATATCTGATGAGGGTCTAGTGTTCGGGATATATTAAGAGCTCTTACATCTCAACAGCAAAAAGACAAATAATTTTTTTTAATGTGCCAAAGGATTTGAATAGATGTTTCCCAAAGAAGATACAAGCACATGAAAAGATGCTCAGTATCACTAGTCATTAGTGAAATACAAATCAAAACCACAATGAGGTACCACTTTACACTCACTAGGATGGCTATAATCAAAA